ACACATAAAATAAATTTTAATAAAACATAACACAAGTTCAAGTTGGATATCACGAATGACTTGAAACTTTATTCTTAAACATCTAAAACATAATTATAAATGCTAAAATTATAATCCTGAAAAAGTTTTAGGATATCGAAGCGTCGTGTCTCTGTAATGGGAGAAGAAGCCTATTTATAATAATAAAAAATAGTTAAAAGTCGCGAAATAATCAAAGCTACAAAATCGAAGCAAGAAAATAGACTCTTAAAATTTCTGATTCCTTTCTTTCATGTGATTAACGATTTCTTGTGATTGTGCGATTGCACGATCCAGATTGGTGATTCTTCCGACTTGAAGGATTCTTGCGATTTTGAGGGCGAGTTGGATCGGAAACCCCCTGGCGATCTCCGGAATCGTACAATCATACGATCTGGATCGCGAGTTTGACTACCATGGCTGGGTGCAAGGAAGAAGGTGGTGGGAATCGGAAAACTTGCCTCTGTCCGTCGTTGCCTGCCGCCGACTTACACTGCCATCAAAACCAAGAAGTCAACCGGCAAGAGAAAGCTCGCTGCCGACCTAACTGCCACCAAAACCAAGAAGTCAACCGGCAAGAGAAGCTGATGGAGAAATGGCGAGAGAAAGAGAGATCTGGCGAGAGTGAGAGAGAAAGAGCAAGAACCATCGAGAAAGAGAGAAGCTCCACCGACAAGAGAGAGTGCCGCCGGTGAGAGAAACATAAAACATATTTACTTTAGCTATTTTCAAATTCACCAGACTGAGATACATGCACTTTAAAGTGGTGGTTAGACCATTGTTTTTTGAGATAGAGTGTTGGAGAGTTAAATGCTCAGATGGATGTATGATCATATTAAGCGAGATGTGATTATAAATAAAGTTATACAAGTCTGAGTGACCTAGTAATCCTTGTGAGGACAAGACGACGGAAGATTAAAGTGGAGCTCTTTTAGTAGAAAATTGCAAGTACACTCCCAAACATAACACGCAATTTGAAGTCAACACCCATAAAAAAACCAAACCCAATAAGGTCATGTTCTCTTCACTTGATCTGATTGGTTCTGATCTAATCTGATCTGGTCTGACCTGAATGTAGTTATATTTAAAGCTAATTCTGATCTGATCTGGATCTGATTCCAATAAGAAAAAGTAATAAATAAAAAAAATAAGTTGGGGAGAACATGGCCTAAGTCTCAATCAAAGTAGGGTGTAAGGACAGTATAATGTACACAAACCTAATATCTACCTCTAAGGTGTGGAAAGGCTCTTTCCATGAATACTTTAACTATGGAAAAGTTTAGGTGTTTTAGAAGTTAAAAATTGGTAGTTATTGTCAACTTTGTATATGATTATATGTTTGACTTTCATCAAGAAGTAATGAGATTTAGACAAAAACTTCAACCACCATCTCTAGAAAGTAGAGAGGTTGTCTCCAAGAGACCTCCAGTTCGAGCAACACATAAAGCACATAGCACGATAGAAAGCAAAGAACAAACTAAGAGTACTAAAAGTGCAAGGAGACACAATGCACTATAATCGTTGCAAGCAATAAGACCTAACACTTAGAAAACACACAACAAGAGCAAAAACTACCACCAAGGTCCAAACAACTACCCAACTACTCTAGTCCTAAATATCCAAAAGTTGCAATCTAAAGTGATATCGTTGATAAGGGAAAAAAGTCTTTGATCATGTCTAATCACCTCCTTCTAATCCTTTCTAAGTCTACCCTTTCCCCCGCCCTCGCCCACTACCATAAGCCTAGTCATGCTAATATAGATATATGTATATTCTAAATGAAGACATAAGCATGTTTTGAAAAAGTGAATGACATATTTTCCTTTATCTGAACCAAGGTGCAACTTTGAACGACCATTTAGAGCAAATAGTGGCAAGCTAGCCAAATATGGTCAAGGGTTGCATGGGATTAGGAGACAATGGTGGAATCAAATATTTCATATGTGAAGAATTGGGGGTAAGAAATAACCATGAAGATAACTTAAAACATATAAGTAATTCAAGGGGTCATGCAGCTATTACATGACATTTCAAGGAGACACTTCAAGGATATACTCTTAGTGAGTGTCAAATAGAGCTTTTTCCCTAATGGATTTAGTTTCATACCCTCAGCAATAACTATATTTGGAATAAGACAATTACGACAATACTAACAAATTGAATTTAGTTAAAAGAGTTGTATATGTGATAATGTAATGATAGTCGAGGGGCTAATGTGGAGTCCATTATAATGTAACAATCCATGTGTGACATGTTATCAACATTATAGCATGGCGCACCTTCATGGCTCCATTACATTCATTATTCCATTTATCCATAATTTATATGTATAGTATTGACCCCCATCAGTGTTGAACTCAAGTTCCTCAACATATATATGTTTATCAATTTGCGCTCCCGGCCCCCTGTATAGAACTCTTGAATCCTTACTTTGATATAAAGTAAATTAAATTTTCACAAGAAAATGATGCATGGAGCACTACTTACGACATGTCTTGGAGTCACTTCAATGGCCTTGTCATGCAACTCTTCCATTAGATTTGTAGAAGTGCCACCCAATGACGAGATGTTGTTAATAGAGAGCTTGTTTGGTTTCATAGAAGATCTAGCTTTTGTAAGGCCCTCATTGAACCCATGGATGGATTTAGGAAGTATAGCCCTCTCTTTAAAGGAGTTAGTGGCCTTTAACAAAACATTTCCCTCATCCTCTATGTGCTTGATACTAGGCCTTTGAGAATTAAATTTCCCATCAATAGATTTTTTATCAAAAACATCAATCTTTGCCTTCTTTGAAGTTCTATCTTCTCCAACATTGGAATATTTTCCAGGCTTGTCATCATTGCCCAACCCACAAGAATGTGGGACTTCGTCGTTTCTTTTCTTAGTGTTTACTTCTGTAGGGGGGGCAGGTTTGACCAGACATTTGCTGCCATTTGGGCTAAGAATTTCCTTGTTAGAGTTATTGTCCAATCCAGCACAAATTTTAGAAGGTTTAGAAATCTTTTCTTGACAAGAATCCACAGCTTTTGGTATAACTTTGTCCTCATTCTCTCCAGACCTAGCATCTGGTTTATGAACATTACTTTTGTTCTTATCTTCAGATATAGCAGAGAAATCTATCTTGGCCTTCTTCCATGGCCTCTCTAAATCTGGAATGGAATCCTTTATAGATTTTACATCCTTGACCAGCTCACAGTGATCCTTCTCTTTATCAGTTTTTTCCTTAAGTGGAGAGGTAGTGACACCTCTAACTTGAGGTTTTGTGTCATTCAGGCTTGACCTCTTATTACAGCTCGAGTCCTTGTACTCCAAGGGCACGACAGAAGCATGTTTTACACGACTTGAAGCCCAACTATCTGAAGCACCAAAGCATTTCATATTGTTTGTGCTTTCATCAACACCCACCACAATCATATGTGGCTTAGTAGAAGTATCACCATCCATGTTCTTGTCTTCATTGCAAGCTGTCTTGTCTGCAGAGATATCCTCTTCCAGGATAACTTCATTCACCGCTATGCTGTCTATTTGCTCCACAACAGTAGGCTTTATTTCAGTTGTTGAATCTAGCTCTTTCAAGATAACATTTCCATCTCCATGCACTACATCAAGTTCATTTTTCTTCAAGGCTACACATCTTGAATTGGGATCACCCATTTCAATTTTCAATCCATTACATGTCTTCTGCATATTAAGCTGCACCCTAGCATGTGTATCTTTATTCTGTTCAGAAGAAAGTTTTATAATCTGACTGGCCTTTTCACTTTCATTTCTGTTAAACACAAACCTAACTGTACCAACAATGCAAAACACTACATAAGAATATAATCTATCGGAACTATTATTGTTGAAAATTAGATCGTGTTGTCTAGCTTATACCACTGCATCAAATAATTGAACTATATTAAAAGCAATATTGAACTCAATGATAAAGAGACAACCCTAACTAACTCGGCATTACATTAGAACTCAGTTTTTTTAGGTTATTGCCTAGCAATAATGACTGAATGATGACTCAAAATAGCAAAGGCACTTACCTTCCAGACCACCAACTGTGTCGCCTATGTCATCTAAGGTAAATCTTGCAACATCAAACACCCTGTAGAATACATAATCAGCCTCCTTAAGTTCTTCCTCAGAAGGTTGACAGTTTCTGGTGTCCTCGGATATACAAACAACATTGCATTTTCCGGCAATTGCTTCCTGATGTAATTTGAAAAAAAAGGAATTCAGCAATCAGTGTCCATAGCCCAAAAGACAACTACACTATTACATATGAATATGTTGTTTGCAACATCCACTGTGAAAATATACATGGAATGTTTCCTCAGAAACTGAACCCATTTCATGTAGAACGAATACAAATGAAATTTTTATACCGCCTAAGCTAGTGGAATAGAACGAAACTCATCAAAGAGATGATTGTGAAATAATTTAATCGAACAACTTTAGGTCAAGGTAAAGGGGAAGTTGAAGTATTTTATTGATCCCAAGGCTGCATTGCTGCAAAGTAGCTAGGTATATTAATGCTAACTGAAGTTGTTCCCCAAGGGGTGGACATTGGACAATCTACTCTATGTCACTGTGATATGATGGCTGGCAACTGTAAAATTTGTGGTACATGGAAGCAGAATGCAGCAGCTCAAAGTAATGTAAAAGTTGAATACAACCCTATCTCCCAATTTATTTTAAAAACTGTGGGGAAAAAACACAAAATGTTACTCCCTTCTTCCCACTATTTTTGTCCTTTTTAACCTTTTCTGTTTGTCCCACTATTTTGTCCCATGCCATATTTGGTCATATTTGTGTGGTTTAAAATCACTCTTACCTTATAACATCAAAATCAGCCACAACCTTAGTTTTGTTTATTTATGTGTCACTCCTTCCTGTCCCAAAAATAGTGGGATGGAGAGAGTATATATATTAAAAACTTCAAGAGGGCTGTTTAGCAACAACAGCAACAAACCCGAAATAAAACCAGGGTCTGTAATCACGATGTACACAACCTTGCTAACGTACATTCTTTACCTGAACTCCTGAAGCTAAGACATAGTCAAAATGACTCTTTAAGCTTCACTGGCAAGGGACAATCAAAGGGGGTAGGTGAGTTGTTATCATCAAGGTAGTTGAACTCGCAATCTGGACCATTTAATTCTACGATAGTGAGGATCGAGCTAGGGTTTTCAATCGGAATCGCGAAGAATAACGGATATACCTCAGACTTGTCCAAGTTGACAAGTCCAAGCACCAGTCTACACGACACTTCAAATTTGAGGGAAATCCCTGCGACTCTTCAAAAAAGACTCTTTGTTTTAATGACTCTTCGCGTGCCTGGTTGTCAACTTGTTTCTGGCCTAATTAATCTCTTATACTTTAAACCCTTCAGCTTCTACCCTCAAATTTCTTCTGCCTATGTATTTTCTTTCTTTCATATTCCGCCCAGTAGCCCAGGTATAATATAAATGTCAACGCTTTTATATCATTTTCTTGAGTGTTAAGGTTTCCTTAACTAAACATAAACTCTTTTTTCTTGGGTTTGAGTACCTTGGTTATCATGTGTCCATGTGACCTTAGTCAAGTCCATAGGTTTGACTTGCAAAAGAAACCTCTTAAGATTTAGGGTAAGTTTGTGTACAACCTTGATGGGTTGGCCCTTCTCTAGGCTGCACATGCAGAGCGTTCTCACTAGAAAAAAAGTTTCACTGGCAAACACAATCACCACAACGAACATACTTTAACCAATCAAATCTACCATCTCCTACCTTCACCAACTTATTCAGTTATTCCCCACTATATGCAAATGCACTGTGACTTACAAACTTCAATACAGTGTGGCTCCCACTTCCATTAGACCACTATTAATACTCATTTACCCTCATTAATGTTATTTTAGTACTACTCTTTGCCGCAATCCAAGTTACGCTACCAGGTACTAACGCATATCTATTCTCCCCAAACCCACCTACCTATGCCCACACCCACTTATCGATGTATCAAACATACCCACGTTATCAGTGGACCTCTGATCACCGTCTTAATCCACACGGAGCTGTGTTCTTTATCACCATCACCTCTTAGTTTCATCCACCCCAATATGTCTACCTTCAGCCAAAAAAAGTTATCCCCCACCACACTCTACCTCTACCACACACTAAACTACCCAATAAAATAATATTCCCTTAAATATATTTTTCTCACTTTGAATTGGCATGCTTTTTAGTAAATAACAATTCTGGGGTTGTAATTTGTTTAGAAATGGTAGAAACAATACCATTGACTACATCTTTCCTCATAAGAAAACCAGAAGTCATCCCAAAGAGGAAAACAAGTTTTTTAGACAGTAATGTTTTTATCGTGGTACAGCAGAAATAATTACGAATCAAGTATCAGCATTTTTAAACAATGAATTATAGTAGAGTTTGAACACATTGTAAGCAGTCCAATGGAAAATGAAAATGAAAATTTTACAAACCAGACATGCAAAATAGAAATATTTCTATAATTAAATAGGCCCGAATAGTTCACTAACGATACAAGTTCAATGAGACAATAATGAAAAAAATTTAATACTCCGTATCTTTTAAGATGACTACAATGATATAACTTTTAGCATCCAACAACTAATATCAACAAGTGTGGTCGACAACAATTAAAAGTTCTTCAAATAAAGTCATTGCTTAAGTGACTAGTAACAAAAACGACAAATTATCTCACTAAAATAGTTGACAGACCATTAATGGCTAGTTTCTTTACTTAAGAGCCCCTATTTCTAATTTTCAGGAAACTCACCCCTCAACTAGATGATTCATCCATGAGACCATATAATGGAAACCAATGGGAGTCTTAATAACCAAATTTATAGATGGGTACGAATCGGATAGGTGTATTTTTAGTTTGAGTGAGATTGACGTCTTCTTTGAGGTATCCAAAATTTTAAATTGTTCTTTTTAAAATAAAATCTAGACTAAATATTAAATCAAATTTCTAGGGTTCAATTGAAAGCATTTCAGGTGCTTTTATGTTCATTTGGATCTATCCAAAATTTCAAATGAAACTGACATTTTTTAAACATAGTATTTCATATAGCATTACCGAACTATCAATACAATAAAACACAAAGAAAAGTTGAATCATATATGCAGTAAATTCATACATTATTAATTTATAATTAATCTATTAATTTTTATGCATATGCACGCACACCTACACATAATTATTACTAATCTATTTGGGTACTATTTACGGTTTTGGGTCAGATATAGATAAAATGTTTATATGCACTTTCAAAACTAAATTTATATTCAGATTTATACAATATTTCCAAAGTCTTGACTTATGCTCAATAAAGTTCCCTTAAAATCCACAATCCCACTAGGATTTCATAGTGCAGTTCAACTGAGCCAATTTGAAATCATTATTATCACGGCGCCATAAAGTTTTCAATTTTAACACTATTCTTAAACTTTGGGAAAGTCAAACAAGAAAGTGTTTTAGGTGACAGAGGGAGTAATCTAATATACTGTCATGGGATTTTGTAATTATATAATCTATATTTTCATTAATATATTTCCAATAATCCTTACTTCATAAATATAATGGAGTGAGCTATACACCTTTAACCTGTTTGATTTAAACGTACCACCAATTACTCATTACATGTGAAATTGAAATGGTATGGACATGTGAAAATGAGAGATGCGGGTGCCCCATTAAGGAGGATTGAGATGTGAGAGATTGGACATAGAAGGTGTGCAACAACGTAGAGGTAGATTGAAGAAGTATTGGCTAGTGGGAAGATATTATGCAGGACATGGGAGAACTGTACCTCCCTTAGAGCATGACATTAGATAGAAGGCTTTGGAGGTTAAAGATTACGATAGCATGATAGGGGTGCCTTCTTGGGTGGGTAAGGTATGTGTACATTATACCCTCCCCAGCTAGTGTTGTGTTGTTTTACCAACAAGTCAATACCTATTTAGATCGCATGCAGAGTGGTTTGACAATAAAATTTGATGCTTTGTCCATATTTTGTTATGTATGTGTCCTGTTAGCAAATATACATGTACATAGATGACAAGAACAAATGATAGAATAACATTTTATATTCCAAAAAACAAAGCATATTGCCAAAAAAGGATAATAATTTGTCTGATATGACACATAACATAATGTGAAAGATGATCAAATCAAACTCTGTCATCCCCTGTACCTTAATAAAACCAGACTCATTTTACTGGGTAGAGGGAGTAATAAATTGTTGTTAGTTATTCCTAGGTAACAAAGCTATTGTAAGCTCTTAATAAAAGATGACAAATATCCTAAAAAACTGGTAAACCCAACAACTCTTGATGTCCCTTTCAATTTTACATCTTAATGACTAAAACAAAGATTGCAAAAGAATGGATGGAGAAAAGGCATAGGGGTGCGCTATACGTTGATAGGGGACCTGAAAGTTGGGGAAGTGTCGTTAAGAACAAGTTATAAGGTATCCCTTAATGTCCTATCATGTATAAAAGTTATACTATTTGTAAACTGAGTCCTACTTGATGAAACTTGGATGCTATTATTGAATGCTATTATTGCTATATCTTTAACTAATACTGAAAGGGTGAAAAAAGAGGAAAGGGACTTCAGAATAAGAGGATGTCAAGTACAAATAAATAGAGTAAAGAGCATAAAAACAGTCAAAACACTCCATTACCAGTGGGTTGACATTTGAGAGGCCAATCCCTTCACCAGAGGCAAGAAATATTTCATTCCCCATGAAATGTTGATCCTTGATATGATACAAAATTTCTGAAGGTCGGAAAAACCACTGAACCTTAATTTTCTTGGACTTATCTGCAGTTTCCCAGATTTTGATAAGTTTTCCAATGTATGGCTCAGGTTCACCTTCTTTGTGCATATACACACAATCATGAAGTGCATACTGAACGCCATCATATTCAAAAGAATCATAAAACTGAACCTCCCTTTTCTTTCCACCAACTCCTCTCTTCTTACCCCAAACAAATTCAAGACCTTCAGATTTGTCAAGTTTGCCTGCAGATGTTGAAAAGTCCTCAAGCACAGCTCGAGCTGAAGATGTCATGCTTTTCGCAATGTACAGTCAATGGTCTTGATCAAACGTATGTTGCTAAAAAGTAATAAGAAAAACACATACACATCAAATCAGACACATGTTTAAACTTTAGAATACAAAAATATAAATAGATATAAAAGAAACAATCTACATATAAATAATAAAACCAACAATTATATGGTCAAAAGATAACAACAACAAACCCAGTATAACCCCAACTATGTTGTATGCAACCTTAAGAGAGGCTGTTAATGTTAGACCGTTGATGCATTGATGCATTTACATCCCAAAATTTTGAATACAATAAGATGCAAGGGAGTTTGACTTGCCATTCTGTCCAGTGGCCATTAGATGTATTCAAATATTCCTAAAACTTTAAAAAAAAAATCCCTATAGACAGAACGAATTCAGTTTCATGCCATGAAGGTCAACGGTTGGGGTAATCAACTATGCAAGGTTGTTACAACGACAAGGGTAAGCACCAATGGACCCTCACAAAACCTTAATTGATTACTTGTCAGCCTAAGAGACAATAAGGCAACACGATTACATAAAAAACAACAATAAACCTATTAATAGTCCATAAAGTTGGGTCTGGGAGAGTGGGTGCATGCAGCAATTACCCTTACCCGAAAAGTAGAAAGGTTGATTCCAAAAGACTCCAACAAGAAAGACATATACATACATATATATATACATACATACATGTATATATATTTTTATATTATAAATTTACATAAGTACATATAAATTATAAATATAAAAAACATATCATATCAATAATGGAAATTAATAAGAACCAAAATACCAAGGTGAAAGCTAAAGAAAATAATACATCTAAAAATTATATAACATAATATATATGTAAAGAGAAAAATATTTATATAAGTGAATACTCTAGCATTGAGCTAAAAAAAAGTAAGAAGTATTATAAGTTACGAAAGTAAAATTTCTTTTAATGAATTACTCAACTATAAGTGAGGAGCAGTTCATTGATAAAAACTTATTTCATTTTGTTAATTAACTCAAAAATTGGAACTCATTTAATCTTCAGAGAGGAAAATATTCTATAAATTAGTCGATTAAGATATACCAACTTTATAGAATAATACATAATTGGTGGCAATAATACCAATCAAGTAATGATGGTAGAGAATATGTGACCAATTAAGTAAAGGTTGAGGAAATATTTTTAATATATAAAAGCTGGGATACATAGCACAATTCAGAAATTAAAAAATCAGGGCAAAGAACAAATAACTGTGCGACATAAAAAATGTGGGCAAAGAAAAAAGAACAATTTACTAAGCCTACCTCGGTAAGGACTGGAGACAGAGAGATAGAGAAAGCGGAAGGCCGGCGAGTGGAGAGCAGTAGAGATACCGGCGACGCTAGCTGCGGCGGAAGGAAGAAGACAAATCGATGGACGAAGGGATTATCGTTCGTGGTCACTATATCTCGATGGAAGACCCGGTTGTTTTTGTCTAGTCCAATTTTAACCCGTTTCATGGACTCATGACTGGAAAGAAACTTTATGTAATTTCTTCACTATAGCATTATTTTGAAATACAAGATACATTTGGAATTAACATGTCAAAAATCTTATTTAAACTAGATATAGGATAGTATTTGTGAAACTGGATGAGCTATCAATGTTATTTAAAACTAACTAATATAACACACGTGTGTTGCACAGGTCATATTTACGTTACTAAATTAAGATTATTTTTGAAAGATACAAATTCATATCAAATAGAATATATAGATTTTATTATTTTAACGTACAAACTAATTAAAAATCAATCAATTACAATATTTAACCTATACACTTCCTCAGGTTAATCTTGGTCATAGATTTTGCATCTAAACCTCGAACCATCTAAACAACTTTTCTATTGCACTTGGTGCAACCAAAATAACATCATTCGTTGGTATTCTCAATGTAAATCACATCACCAATTATTTAATAATATCCTTTCTGTAATTAAATATTAAATATATGTGTATAGTTTTAAAAATATAAATAAGTCAAATCAAAATTTCGGCCATAAATTTTGTTCAAGTTTAATGGTTTTTTACCATTTTTCTTGCCAAACCGATAATAAAATGGAGAACTTTATACACCACATAAAAACAAAGGAACAATATTTAAAAACATAAAAGAAATTAGAGAGGCTGATTACGAAAATGATCGTATTTATATTATGAAAATTTTTGTTCCTTTTTTCTATTTAATGGGATCTATTTTTTATAATTTATTACTATTATTATTATTATTATTATTGACCAAAAAGTAGATAAATTTCCATTTCTAAATTCAACGCTTATCACATATATTCTCACACTTATATATATTTTTATATTCTTCCAACCAAAATAAGGTATAATTATCGTCTACGTTTGTCATTATTATTAGACTTATTATCACGTACTATATTATTATTTTTATTATTCTTATAATAATACTTTTATTATTATTATTACCATATACACATGTATTTTTTTGGTATTCTTGCAACAAAAATAAGGTATAATGAAATTAGCTTATTAATAAAAACTAAAATTTTTTATTAAAGAAGTGAAAACTTTTTATTAAAAAATACTTTGACTTTTTTAGAAAATGTATCAATAAGCCTTGTCAGCCCTTTCATAATAATAAAAATAATTTTGGGACACACTATAATTAATGACATCTCTTTTTTTATAATTTATAATTTTATCAGAATAAACCTAGTCCTTTAACAAATAAAAACTTTTTATTAATGGTGTCTATTTTGGGGCACACCATAATTAATGCCACCATACACATTTATTATTGTTATTATTATTATTATATAATTGTTGTTATTACCATATAAACATGTGCAAGTAACCATTGTTAACTTACCAAAAAGTAGATAAGTTACCATTTCTAAATTCTACACTTACCATATATATTCTCACACTTACATATATTTTTTATATTCATCCCACTAAAATAAGGTATAATTATGGTCTATGTTTGTTATTATTATTACGTTTATTCTAATGTTTTTTATTATTATGTTTATTATTATTTTTGGTATTCTTGGAACAAAAATAAGGTATAATGAAAATACCGAATTAATAAATCTATAATTTTTGGCATTATTTCCATTGATTAAATTTTATATATATATATATATAGTAATAGAACATATGGCAAATTACCATTTTTGTTCTACACGGTAATATGTTTTAATTACTATCCATCTTTAACACTGACACATGACAAATTACCATTTCAATATTTAACACTTACCATTTGTGTCATACACGTATGGGCGGGAAAATAAAAGCAAGAATTTCCCTCTCTTTAAATATAGTATAGATACTTTTGATCTTATTTTTAGATTCATTGGGGAAATTATATAAAGTTGATTATTAATGAATATCAATTAGATAAAATATAAGATAACAAATAATAATGTTTGTCATTAACTCTCATTAATAGTCATAGCGAAACATAAGAGAATTTTCTTCTTTAGAATTTCAAAGATAATTCTGAATCAAATAATACCAAATCCATTTAAGGTATGTAAGATTTCTATCAAACTTTGTTTCATGATACTACAATCGTATGAACAATTGTAATACTCCGTATTACACAATTCATGTGTTTGCAAAATATTTCTCAATAACTAGGGGTGGGCAAGAATCCCGAAACCGTTGTCCTGACCTGAAATATCTTGGTCCCGTATCTATAATGTCCTGTTTTTTGGGATGACAAAATTTTGTCCCGAATCTTTTCCAAATCATTTTAAAATGGGACAAGACCGGGACACGTAAATATTTTCCTATTCCATTTTATTGTCCCATATGTATGTGTAAATCTATTTATTCATTTATATAATGATATCACACAAAAAGTATCACAATTTTTATTTTCCAAAAATAGATATAAAAAATATCTAGATTCAAATATTTTTAAAAAAATACATTAAGACCAGAACAACTAAAAAAATACCGCTCTAACATGACTCACTCCAATTTATGGTTCATAGGTTTTATGAAATTTATAGTCTTTACATTGACATATTTGTAACATTTTTCATATTTCCTTATTGTTTTTACTTTTTTAACACATTCTAAATAAATACGGAGTATTTCATTTTTTTCATTACTTTGCAAGTTAAAGTGGGTTGCCTCTCCCTTATATATTTTATATTTTTATATCTAATTTCGGATATGACAAAGCAGGACAACCCGAACCTATTTTGTTTTATCCTGATCTTGAATATTTAGGGACAAATAAGGATAAACTTGTGGCCCGAACCGTACCGTTCCGAACCGTTTGAAAAAACGGGACAACACGGGGCAATATAAAATCCGAACTGTCCCGACTCGTGCCCACCCCTAATTGATACTCTTTTCTTCAAATTATTTTATCAAAAGCACAAAGAATATACTTGTTTATACATCATGATTGAATTTTTAGTCGGAATCTATCACCATCTTTTGTAATGTTAATAATGATACATGTGGAGAGGCAGATAACGAGTGAGCTATTCATCCCAATGTCATGAACTCCACTTTGACGTGTGGAATGTAATTTAGCCAGTCATGATCAACTATACATTTCTATTTCACGTGTACAAATATACAAATTGAAGATCTTGACTTGTGATGATGAAAACAGCCCTCTCAATCACACTTGGAATGTTGTGCATAAATAAGTTTTCTAGCATTTTTTATTTTATTTTTGTTTATTGATATCATGCATTTTTGATTGGTGAAATTTTTTGTATTCATTACGCGAATAGTTTATTTATAAATAATTTAAGTGGAATGATCTATCATATTACCCGTAATTACATGTTATTTATATTTTTCATAATATATATCATCACATAATACTTTTACCGTGCATCGCACTCATTAGAAATCTAGTAATAATGTCCATAATGTTGTGATGTCCATTTGCATCGCACTCGTTAGAATCTAGTTTTGTGCATCGCACTAAAACTTAAGTCATTTTTGCATAGCACTTAAATTGTTTTATTCCCTAAATAACACTTAATAATGTCCATAATGTCCAGTGATGACGAATATTTGCTCGAATAATGACTAATGCATAATGACTAAAAGTGCTACATTGGGAAGAAAAACACATGTGGTGCTATTTAGGGAAAGTCATTATGTTTTAGTGCTATTTATGTAAATTCATCAATAATAAAAGCATGTGGAAACACCCTAATTCTATTGCAATTTGGAAAACCACGCGCCCATGCACCCAATATAGGGTGCTTTCCCGGTCAGTGAATAAAGTAGTTTCTCAATTCCTATTTTTTCAAACTATTGCTGATTGATGTAAAGTGGGTTTGATGAACACACATTTAAAAAAATTTAAAGTGTGTTCGCTAAACACAACATGCATGCAACTCTGCCAAAAGCAACACTGCCAAAAGTAAAAGCTTCTGCGTTTGGTTTGCGTGTGGAATTAAATATCCTAAAGTCAAACCTGTGTTCTCCGAACACGGTTTAGCTCATAATCCAAAATATAAAGAATGAGTTCTTTGAACTCGAATCTTGTACCTCTCCACCTCCTCTCTTTTCGTGTTTCTTTTTTAAAAGTGAAATTTGTAGTAAATAGGACTAAAACATAAGTTCTTTCCCAATGTAGGACTTAAACTTTTTTATTCCCTAAAGAGGACTTAATAATAACTAGTAAGAAGAATAATGTCCAAGTGATGCTGGACATTTAGTTGAATAATGACTAATAGATAATGACCAATGGTCCTACATTGGGAAATAAAAACATATGGTTCTATATTGAGAAAAATCATTATGTTTTAGTCCTATTTATATTAGGTAAATTACTCTTATTAAAAACAAAGGGTATTTTTTGTTTAATACCTGATATATAGTATTAATTTAAATATATAATTTTATTTGAAAATAATCATTAATTCATTTTTGTTTTTTGTGCAGATGGACGACATGCAATGTCAACTTGCCGGTCCGATGAACGATGCTATGCTCACCCTCCAAAATACTCATCGATCCAGTCGTGTTTGGGCGGAACCAGGCTTTACACACAAAAAAGTATCAGTATGTCAAAATGATTCTCGTATTTTAGAAATGCAAATTTTAACAAGGTGTGGGTTTTATGGGGTACATTGGGTGCACCCCATTAAAATAGACCATAGTTTGATTACGGCCCTCGTTGAAAGGTGGAGGCCCGAAGTGCATGCATTTCACTTCCCGTTTGGTGAACTTGGTATCACTTTACAGGATGTTGAATGCTTAATGGGTTTAAGAATAGACGGAGAACCTATAGTTTTTGAGGAATTGGTTATTCCAAATACCTATCGTGAACTTTTTCGCGAAGTTATTGGATTCCATATCATGGACCACCATATTGGACAAGCCGGATTTAACTTGGCCGCACTAGAGAATAAAATTGACAATGTAGTTGAGCGATAGGTTTTGCCCGGTAACACAGACAGGGAGGCGGAGAGATATACCGCTAGTGTGGTATTGCAACTTCTGGGTGGTACTTTGTTTCCGAATGCCTCTGGTCAGTTTGTCCCTATAGAGTTTCTACCTCTACTACGTACTCCCGAGATGACTGCACAATTTAGTTGGGGTTTGGCAGTTCTGGCCAACATGTACCGCAGCTTGTGTAAAGTTGCACTTAAAACATCCGAGAGGCCTATATTTCGCGGATGTGCTTTGTTTTTACAACTTTGGGCTTGGTCACGCCTCATTTTAGTGAGGTCCGAAGTTCATGTGCTCAATAACGGTCGACATCAGGGCCGGCCCCGAAAAATGAAAAAATAAAATTGGCCCGGTCCAATTACATTTTGTGCCCTATTTTATATTTTTAGAATACTTTTGCTTTAAAATTATTAACAGATTTAAAAATATAGTGCCTAAATCTTAAGGTGCCCTGTGCGGTTGGCCACTTTGCACACCCTCCGGGCCTCCCATGGTCGACATGGCCCACTTCGAAATGACGAACCGCATGGCGCTCAGTACGATAAATATTTGTTTTATTTAAATTTTATTTTGATTATATAAAATATTAAAATATGTTTTGCCTTTCTCATATAGGTGTCGCATTCGAAGGTTGTTCAATGGCACGTCACGATTTTCACTTCGTAACTACCGAGACCATTTTGAGGGTTCACTTCTTCGACATGTATGTATTTTAAGTAATTAATATTTATATTTTAAATTAAAAAAACTAATACTCTTTGTCTTTTCTATAAGTTGTTTGGACTCCCTATAATTTAGAGGCATTACCAGATTATTGTCAGGCTGGTCGTCAGTTGTGGTTTTACGAAGGCCTCATCATATTTGACTTGACAATAGAGCCACACATGCCAAGGAGATTTGCCCGGCAGTTCGCATGATGCAACAGATTCCAAATCTTTCATTCCCTTACGTTGAAGCACTACACCGAGCAGATGGCCGCAATACTTTGCGAGATGCTTTTATTCTGATGTACAATGAGTGGCGTAATAATCAGTTTAACCATTTAGTGGAAGATGAAATGGAGCCACTTCCGCCACACTATGTAGGAGAGGGTTGTGTAGAGAACTACACAGATTGGTTTTATTATTATAGTCGTCGACACATACGCAATCCAACACACCACCTAGCGATTGGTGTGGATGGCTCGGCGGGTGCATTAGCAATAGCAATAAGACACATGACATTTTTATCACTTAAAATACTATGGTACATACTAATATGTTTTTATTTTATCTTTAATTAGGTAAGCGCATTGCGACGCGTGAAGGATACTGTGTTACACGCGCCAGCATTTGAGATAGAACAAGTTGCGGCGGAAACCCTAGTGAATATTGAGCGTCACCACAGGATTGCAGAGTACGTCCCGCCAATTATACCAGACCCCCCCCCCCAACATACAAGAACATGGGGGCGAGCAGCCTAGAAACAGTTCCATGCACGTACATGCAGAGAGCTCGAGCCATGCAGAGGAGATGAATAGTTTCGTCGGTGTCGGTACGCAAAATGACCTTTTTGGGTCACAATTTGGCGACCCAAGTGAAATGCTGGATCAGATGAATTTCGATTCTACTTCGAGGTATCAGCATGTTGGGACTTCATGGCGCTATCACACATAAGGAAGCGAGTCTGAGTAGGAAAAGTTTACAAGTTTTTAATATGTAATGTATCTTTGTTTTTAATATGTAACTAGTGTTAACCCCGTGCTTCGCACGGGCTCGTAAATATTCTAATATTTTAACATTCTACTTTTTATTTTCGTTACTCATTTGATAAAATAATATAGTCATGACATTTATTTTTTTTAAACTTTTGATGCAGTTTTAAATATAAAAGGTTTATTTTTAAATTTTACACGTAATCAAACAAATTGAATTTAAAATAACTTCGATCAAATCTCGTAAGTTGAGAAGTCAATTTTAGGACAGAGGGTGTATAATAAAATAAATCTTAAGTTTTAAAATATATATCATATACTCCCTCTGTCCCACAAAACCCTTCTCATTTCTTTTTTCATCCATCCCAAAAAACCATTCTCTTTTCTATTAAAAAGTCATATTATATTTACCTATATTAATTATTAATCTACCTATCATATCACACTTTTTCTCTATTAATCTACACATCTTATCCTACTTTATCCATTTTTCATTATATCAAAGGGTATTTTTGAAAAGTCAACACCAAAATACACTTTTCTTAAATTCTTTAAAAGTCAAAATGAGAAGTTTTTCGATCAAAGGACGAAGGAAGTAGTTAATAAAAATGCTTATGTAATAGAGTCAATAGCACTAAATTTTTCAAAGGACGGAGGGAGCAATATAAATTATGGATTACAAAAAAAACTTATTTAAAATTTTTAAATTAATGAAATTAGTTTTCGGACTTGTCGCAATGTAGAATATCTGGCGTCTTGTCGCAATATATACCGTACAACCGGTTGTACGATATTTTCGTACATCTGCAGTGAGTGCTCATTTACGAGTAACTTAATACTCCCTCCGTTTGGAAAAAGTGTTCCTATTTTGACTTTGTGTAAAAATAAGGAAGTATTAAATTGTAGTTGACTTCCAATTTTGCCCTTGATGTGATAGGTAAAAGTAAGATGTGATGGATAGATTATTAGATATAAAGTATGATGTGATAGGTAAGGTATGAAAAAGTAAGGGTAAAAGTGGTTTTTTAATAGAAAGTGGAAGTGTTTTGTTGGAAGTAAAAAAAATTAAAGAGGAAGTANACGAGTAACTTAATACTCCCTCCGTTTGGAAAAAGTGTTCCTATTTTGACTTTGTGTAAAAATAAGGAAGTATTAAATTGTAGTTGACTTCCAATTTTGCCCTTGATGTGATAGGTAAAAGTAAGATGTGATGGATAGATTATTAGATATAAAGTATGATGTGATAGGTAAGGTATGAAAAAGTAAGGGTAAAAGTGGTTTTTTAATAGAAAGTGGAAGTGTTTTGTTGGAAGTAAAAAAAATTAAAGAGGAAGTATTTTAAAAAACGGAGAGAGTACTAATTTTCGAGCAACTAAATACTCATTTTCAAGTGAATGGATACTCATTTTCGAGTAAGTAAACGCTTATTTTTCTAAAATTCAATTATGATCAATATGAGTATTGTGTTACACAAAAATAAATATTCAAGTAGAGGTAGAGGGAATAGTAAGTACTTGTATCTCGTCCGTATACCATATAAAAAGAGAGGTTCTACCCGAGCTAAAACCAAAAGCATTTAAAGCTGTTTTCTTTGTATTTTGGTACCACATAACCAATTCCATACATCATACCATGCTCTCTCTCTCTCTCTCCTCTTCTTTCTGCAAAATTTCCAAATCCCAAAACACCAAACGCTGCAGCTTTCGTTCCAATTTATAGCTAAATTCCACTGTTTTCGTTTTCTTTGATTTCTTTCATAATCTCATCCATCCATCCATCGCCTTGATCTGTAATCCCATTCTTTAATAATTAGTGTAATTAATTAATTAATTAATTTCATACATATGGAAAGCACAGATTCCTCGAGCGGGTCGCAACAGCCGCAGTTGCCGCCCGGGTTCCGCTTCCACCCAACTGACGAGGAACTCGTGGTTCACTACCTCAAGAAGAAGGCGGCTTCCGTCCCCCTCCCCGTCGTCATCATCGCCGAGGTTGATCTTTACAAGTTCGATCCATGGGAGTTGCCCGGTATGTAATTAACAATTCTTATTATGAAACCCAATTATATTCCTTCCTAATTGGGATCAGGAAAATGTTGTGATTTTTCGATTCCCCTGTTCCCGTCCCTGGTGCAACCACTTCAATTCACTCGTCGATCTTAATAATGGATCTCTAATTGAATTGCTTTGTTTTGCATTTCTTCTTGTTCGTTTAATATATAATCAGCCAAGGCGACGTTTGGGGAGCAAGAGTGGTACTTCTTCAGTCCGAGGGACCGGAAGTACCCAAACGGTGCAAGGCCGAACCGGGCTGCGACGTCGGGCTACTGGAAGGCCACCGGAACAGACAAGCCGGTACTGACGGCCGGCGGGACACAGAAGGTGGGTGTGAAGAAGGCGCTGGTGTTTTACGGTGGGAAGCCGCCCAAAGGGGTGAAAACCAATTGGATAATGCACGAGTACAGACTCGCTGACAACAAACCAAACAACAAGCCTCCCGGTTGTGACATTAACAACAAGAAAGGCTCTCTCAGGGTAATTAATTTAAATATATAGATATTGGGCGTTTTATATAAATAATTTGTGTTTCTTTTATAATTTCATTTCATATTTTAGCTGGACGATTGGGTTTTGTGTCGGATATACAAGAAAAACAATACGCAGAGGCCAATTGATCATCAGGAGAGAGATGATTTAACCGACATGTTTGGACCAATAATTCCACCATCGATGCAAACAACAGTACTCCAATTTGCCGCCCACCCAAACAAGTTCCATCACCAAGCGCTACTGAAGGCCTCCAGCTACGGCGCCTTGCTAGAAAACGACCAGAGTATGTACGACGGGATGATCGGAAGCAACGGGTCGCCGATGGTGGCGGCTGCCGGCGGCGGCGGCGTGAATCTGCTCCCCACGAAACGTTCCCAGCAACACCTCTCCGCCATGTACTGGAACGAAGAAGACACCTCTGTTTGTGACGGCGGGTCGTCGTCCCCACTCATGACTAAGAAGTTCCTTGCCGATGGCAGCCACCACCACCACGTGGCCGGCGGCGGCCGGAGTGACGACGACCAGAATGGGGGCTCCATCGCCACACTTCTCAGCCAACTCCCACAAACCCCTTCTTCAATGCACCAGCAAAACGTCGTGTTGGGCAGCCTCGCCGGCGGTGGAGATCAGGGTGTCTTCCGGCCCCAACCTTACCATGTCTCCGGCATGAATTGGTACTAAAAACGGGACTGGACCGGACCGGACCCAGAAATTTTATTCAAGAAATCAACCGCTCGGATTGATCTTCGATGTGAGACTGTAAGTACGTACGTGCATAAATCAACGATCGATCGGTGGAGAAGAAAACTTGGGAAATTCTTCAACATTTAGGTGAGCCCCCCTATATAATTATTAATCTATTTTATCATCCTGATTTTATACACTTTTTTTTTTATTTTGATTTTTTATAAATTAATTGTTTGGTTTGGTTGGTATACTAGCGATGCAAAGAGGTCTTGTATTAATAATATATACGTAGTATGTGTACACAAAAATATACAAACATGTAATTAAACATTATATATAGGCACGCTATTATATTTTGATTCCCCTGCAAATTTGAATAAAATTATTATGTATATAGATACATTTGAAATAGAAGATCAAAATTTTATTTTTGAAGAAGAGATGTTCAGTACTCGGTTATACATTCCATCGGTGGACTAGTGTGCATACCATTCTTGTGCGCAAAAATGTACGCAAACAGTTGCACCTTGCGGATTATGTTGTACACATTTCACCTCAAATTTCACAAAATGCTAAATTATTAGGGAGTATATACCCCTCTCTTCAGTTTCTCTATTTATGGAATAGTTTACAAAAATTAGAAATAATTTCTTTAATATTTTAGAATTGGTACTAAATATGAAAACTACATGTAATTAGTGATCAATTACGAAATTTAGTCCATATGTAGTATATATTCTTTAAGAAATACGAACAACGAAATTAAGTTAGAAACAGATGCACAGAGTCTAAATAAGAATAAAAAGAAGAAGAAATTAAACTCGCCACAGTTGACACAATGGATGACAACTATCTGTTGATTTGTACACAAACATGCGACAATCGCATGTAAACTCTATGTGTTCACATACGATTATTGTTTGTATGTACAAATTTACAGATGGTTGTCTTCTGTGATGTCAACCGTAGTGAGTTTTCATGACTCTATAACAATATGCTCCTTCTATCTTCCCATATCTTTCTTCTCATTTGACTTTTCACGATTTCCAATGCAAACTTTTGACTATCAATATCTCTATTTATATTTTATATATAAATATAGATTAAAAAATATGACATTCAATACTACGTTTCAAAATAAGTTTATTATTATTAAATTCATAATATCATTCAATATATTTTTTTAAATCAGTGGCGGGTAAAATTTAATAAAAATTGATACTCCCTCCGTCCTAAAATTAATTTCCCAGTTTGACTTTTGCAGTCAAACTTTTTAAACTTTGACCGTAGATTAAGAAAAAAATAAATTGAATTTTCATATAAATTTATTAGCAATAGATTCATTTTAGAATATAGTTTTGAAATATGTATTTTTTATAAAATATGTTTATATAAAAATTGAGATATTGATGGTCAAAGTGTTGCATTGGAGACCGTGAAAAGTCAAATAAGAAGTTAATTTTAGGAAAGAAGTTAATATACAAAAGTCAAAAAGGAAAGAAAGTGAGATGATGGAGTAACTATTTATAAATAATACACTATATATCATATGTACAAATCCATAACTGTTTCAAGCATTGGAAAGTCCATTTTTTAAAGTACCTATTTAGATAGATACCATGACATGCAGGGAATATGTTCAAAAAAAATAAAAAATAATAAAAAAGAAATGAAATGCAGCGCATGATAGCAAGTGGAGTTTCTAGTGTACCACATAGCATGGTGCTATATATAATCATCTAAAAGGAAATTTATACTAGTAATCTCGTAATTTGCTGGAAAAATGTGAGAAATAATAGATAAGAAAGCTGAGACTCCTTTATTAGCTGCTGTTGATAGATAACGCCATTTTGTTGCCAAACTCGTCACACGATGTTAGGTTCACAAAAATTGAACTTCTTCGTGTTAAAAGTTAAAACGTTGGCTATTCGATCAGTTCGATCAGCTGATGATTTTCATATTTCTGACCCGGCCACTAAGGCAAATTATATGGTACATCCAGCTGTACCTTCCTTTAGGTACAACTTAGTATTTTTGTAAATTTTACAAATTTTTTATCCAATGCCCAGAATATATATGAGAACTATTATATATGACAATGAGTACCAGCAGATTTGAGAACGAGTACCAGCACTTATGAGAATTATCATATTTTTATTCAATACAAACATGAATAAATCTGGGTTTTAAATTCTCCATGCTCAGATAGTATAAATTTGTAGGAACGAATCGATTAGAGGAAGACATTGGTGATGGTACTGAACTTTTTAATTGTGAAAAAATTGAACAATACTTTGTTTCAGAATGAACTTTTCCTTATTTGAGAATGGGTATTGTTTTTTTAAAGAATGAATACTACGCTATTTATTATAATTATATTAGATAAATGTGTAAAAATGAATACTTCTTTATTTTAAAATGAGTACTACCTTTGCCAGAATGAGTACTACGTATTTCGAAATGAATGTTTATATTTGTACGAGAATGAGTACTACTTTATTTCAGAATGAGTACTATCGGCCACTAACGTACTCCGAACTTCAAATTCAAAATCAAGTTTTTGATTTTAGTTTGCAATTTCCTGGATCGATCTAGACTATAATAATTTCAATTGTTAAATAATTCCGTGGGGCTTGTTTGGAAAACGGCCGAAATTCAGCCGCTTTGACCAATTGAGGAGGGTTGGACCATTAAACGGCTGGAATTGCTGTTTGGCATATGGAGTTTAGAAGTGGATGACTGGATGTGCTGTTCGGCCGTTTCTTTTATTCCTTTATCGCCCTTTATCTGGTCAAAATATGGATATGGTAGAGTGCTAGCTTTGCTGGACATTGAAATGAAAAACACTAGCGGGGTGTGGTAGTGTTACTAGTTACTAGGCGTGAGCAAGTACCATATGAATATTGAAAATTCCTGAAAAAAAATTGGTAAAATCAAAAATCGAAAAATATCAAATCGAATCGTTAAAATAATGAGAGTTTAGCATATTGGAAAAGTACGAGTAACTTCTCATACCGAAAATTCCGAACCAAGTATATATACTAATATATTACTTATAAATATAATAATCTTTTTTATATTTTTCATTATATAATAAATTTATTTTTAAAATTTGGTTCAAATTTTATTGTGTGCATATTACACTTTTATTTGAGTTCCAATTTTTTGGAAATGAATCTAAAATATTAACACACATTTGGAATATTTTTTGTTATCATACATTCATTTTAGTTTGTGAAATGCTAAATTTAGTTTTATAAGCATTTCTTGCATTTATATTTTCATATTTTCATTTTTTGTGTTTCTTGATTTAATATACTTTTGATTTTTCACAAAAAAAGGTAATGTGACATTTTAAAGTTTATATTAGGCGTGTATGTATTCATCTTAATTTGTAACGAAACCGATACAGAATCATCCCGAACAATACCAAATCAAAATTTCAGGATCCGGATCGGCACGACAAAAATCTCCTACCGCGCAAACTGAAAGCTTTGGTACACGACGACCCGTACGTGCTAAATACCGTACCGTACCATACCATACCATGTTCACCCCTATTAGTTAGTACTGGATCTTAAAAAATTATCTCTAATTAAAACCTATTCCAAAAAATAAAACTTCCCAACAAAAAAAAAGATAGAAAAGAAAAGGTGTTTATAGGGTAAATTTCATTGATGATCCTCGAACTTTGAGCGAGATATTATTTTGGTTCCTCAACTTTATCACTTTTTAAAGAAATACCCGCACTCTGAAAAAATGTCACAAAAGTACCAAGAGTCAGTTTTCTGGTCACTTTAGCCGTAATTGTTATTTCATATATTTCAATTTTTAAATTTTGACGTCACTATATTTCCCTTTTTCTCAGATTCCATCTCATTTCTTCTTCATGAGCCCCACTTCCACCCTTTTTGGAGAAGAAAATTGAGAATATGAAAAACAACAACAACAACAACCCAGTTAAATCCCACAAGAGTAGGGTCTGGGGAGGGTGTGTGTACGCAGACCTTGCCCCTACTCGAAAGTAGAGAGGCTGTTTCCAAAGAGACCCCCGGCTCAACATCGAAAGTTGCAGTGTTTGACTAACTGCTACTTCATAAATTAAAGAAGCGCAGATAGTTTAGAGATCCATTTTGATTTATTCCATCACACCCAAAAGCCAAAAATGGTGAAATTTTGACTCCATCGGAGATGATGAAAAATAAAATTGAGAATATGAGAAAGCGAAAAAAAGGATCAGGTCATAATAAAAAAATTAGAAATATATAAAATTTCTAAGACGTTCAAAGTGACCTACCTGATAGTAACCTAGAAACCAGCTCCAAATACTTTTGTGATATTTTTTCGAAATTCAAAAATTTTTGCGAGATAAAATAAAATTTAGATAGCAAAATGATATATCATTCAGAGTTCAGGTATCATTAATCAAATTTACCCCGTGTTTATTCGTTGCCTTTATCAAATACGGAGTAACAAATTGAGTAAGGGATGTAAGGAGTATTATTTTCGTTTGATTATTGAACGTTAATAAATTGTTCTTACCCTTTAACTTGTACTCGTATTCTATTAGTCCCTGCGTCCCAAAAATATTTCTTGTTTTAAATTTTAAGTGATTTAAAAAGAGTGTATTTTAGGGTTGACTTTCCAAAAATACCTTTGAATGTGATAGGTAAAAGTAGATGTGATTGATAGATTAGTAGTAGAAAAGTGTGATATGATAAGTAGGTTATGAATTACTAGGAGTAAAAGTGATTTATTAATAAAAATGAGAAACTTTTTTTTGGACCGGATGAAAAAGAAAGGAGAAAGATTTTGTGCAATGGAGGGAGTATATACTCCGTAAATGTTTAGAATTTTTTTATATAAGTGTATAGAATACATAATTTTTTTATTATATATGTAATTACAAATTACAAGCATGTACGAAGTACTCCTTTAGTCCTAAAATATTCTTCACAGTTACTATTTACCCGTTCAAACTTTAATAACTTTCTTTTCTTATCTGTGTTAGTTATTTGATAAAATAATATAGTCTTGTCACATCTTGTCTTCTATAATTTTTGATGTAGTTTTTAAATATATAAATTTTATTTTTTAATGTTACACCTTCAATCAAATAAATTGAATTGAAAA